CACTCACACACACACACACACACACACATACATACACACATACACACACACACACACACACACCTGTTCTTCCCGAGCAGCAGCACACGCAGCGAGGTGAGGGAGGAGACTCCAGACATGTCAATCACGCGGTTGTCATAGAGATCGAGGAACACGAGGCGCTGCAGGTGAAGCAGGTCCTGCAGGTGTGAGATGAGGTTGTGCTGCATGTTGAGGAGCCGCAGATTCCCAGCCGCGTCCAGATGAGGGACATCCGTCATCCCGCGCCTGCAGGACACAGACCACAGATCAGTTCAGCTGCCAAACACACATCTCATAATTACACAGCGTCAGCTGAATGACTCTGCCTTGAGAAAGACTCTCCTGCCACCTGCTGGTGTGTTCATTCATAAACTGATCCCTCTGCTTAAACCCACACACATAATAAAAAATTATATATATATATATAACTTAAAATTAATAAAAAGTATTTAAAATACTGTTTATAATACTCACATTTTTATGAAAAACTAATTTAATATTTAAAATACTGCTTAAATACAGTGTTAAACAATTTTAAAAACCACGTGTTCTCCTATTTTCTTGTACATTTCTATGCAGTTGCTAAGGTGTTCTGAGTGGTTGCTAGGTGTTTTTTAAATGAACAGGATACCGGTCCAGATCCAGTCTCTCCGGGCAGGAAGTGATGTCATCTCTGAAGCCGAAGGCAGACGGGAAACACGGCACGGAACTGTCACGCAGACTTCCTGTGTCACGAGAAGAAGAGCCGTAATGATGAGTGATAATAAAGATCTGCGCAGCTGGCCTCTGTTACCACAGAACTGTGACAGAATCACTGACATCAGCCCGCATATTATACATTCTCGAGCTGTCAGAAATGCTAGTTAAGCTGAAATTGTGTGATTATTTCTCATTTAGGGTCATGAATATGCCTGCAAAATTTCAACACTCTTGACGTGCTGTGAAATATGTGTAAAAATATATATATATTGTTATGTCTGAACTCCTGAGGGTATTTATATTCATGCATTCGGTATAAATTTGCATCAGACATTTTTTTGCTGGGAATCAAACCATGATTTTTGCACCATGCAAAGTCTGTTTGAGCTTTAGAAAAGCACAGACACTAAATAAATAAAATATTAATTTTACATTTTAAATAATTTTTAATACTGTTTTTAATATTCACATTTTCTGAAAAACAAACGTTTAAAAAATACAGTTTTAAAAATGACATGTTGTTATATTTACTTTTTGTGTAATGTGTGACAAGCATTGATGTTAAAGGTTTACTGTTTTTACCTGATTTTCATTGGGATTTTTGGTGAATTATAAAATAATTAAAAACTAAAATAAATAATAATTAAAAACTAAAATAAAAAATAATTAAAAACTACAATAAAAAATAATCAAAAACTAAAATAAAAATAATTAAAAACTAAAATAAATAATAATAAAAAAATAATTAAATACTAAAATAAATTATAATTAAAAACTCAAATAAAAAATAATTAAAAACTTAAACAAAAAATAATTAAAAACAAACAAAAAATAATTAAAAACTAATATAGTATCTCAGTGATCCTAAAACAACACGGAAACAGAACTCATCTCTGAGTCGTGTTCCTGTGATCCAGTGTCTTACCGCGCATGTGAGCGAGCGCTGCTTTGCTCTGCGGGGACGTGGACCCCGCGCTGTGAGCGGCCCTCTTCACTCGGTACACCTGCGGCCCCAGATCCACCAGCATCCCCACGGGAAGAGCCACGGGAAGAGAGAAGACACAGCGACCGGCAGCCGAGAGCTCGCTGTCACAGGACAGACCCGGAGACACCTGCAGACGAGCGTCTGACCAACACACACACACACACACTCCCACACTCTCACACACACACACACACACACACACACACACACACACACACACTCTCTCT